CTCCTGCATTACAGGCAGATTCTTTACCACCTGAGCCACCAGGGAAGGTACTAAATAGGTACAGAGTTTCTATTTGGGATGGTGCCAAAGTTCTGGAATGGGTAATATTGCTGACTGCACCATTGTGAATATACTTAATACCACTGACCTACACACTTAAAAATGGTTAAAATGACAAATTTTATGTTATAAATATTTTACTGGTATATACGCATATACCTAATATATACATATATAACATACACTCACATATGTAGTATATATAGTAGTTGCTGGTAGAGCAGTAGGGTCACTCACCACCCAAAGCCTCTGAGCACATGGAATTCACATCTGTGTCTCAGCAAAAAGACAGTTTCTAACACATCAGGGCTCTCATGAAGTATATAAACCATGAATGTTAAGTCTGCAAATGCATTTGTGTTTTCAACAGAGAATGTGTCTTAATTCAATGTGCCTATTCTTTGTCAGATCACTAGGCACTCAGGAAAAAGTTATTTTAAATTACCCTGGGCTAGGAAAGGACTTTCAGAGCTTGATACGAAAAGCAAAACTCACAAAGGCAAAGAATAACAGACTTAAGCACATAGAAACTCAAAACATTTTCCCAGAAAAGTACACTATCCTCAAAATCAAATGGCAAAATCAGTTGACAAAAGGTTGCAATCTCTAAATCAAAATTTCTTGTGGTGTGGCCCAAATACCGCTGCACTATGGAATAGGAACTTGAGATGACAAGGACAGAAAATTGATCTTAGAGTATAAAATTAAGCACTACAGCAGGCAGGTGGGAGAGTTTTGCCCCCCAAATCCTCTATGTCCTCAGAAATCAGGTTCAGGAATATACATTTATGAAATCATTACTTTGAAGACTCAGAGAAGCACAAATAATTTTTATGCAAATTTTTCTTGGAAGCCTGATCTCTGAATCCACATCTTTCCCTTTACTATTATATAGCACATCAATAGAGAAGGTTAAAAGAATTAACACATGTAAAACAACTAGAAATCTTGCTATTATTATTTTCTGTGCATCTAAGTGGGGACCAGTTGTTGCCAGTGCAGAAGCTTAAAGGTAGACTCCGAGGGCTCTCAGAGCTGCAAGAGAACTCAGATTCAAAGTAGCTCAAATCACACTGGCTGGGGTGCTGGGAAGCTGAAGAATAGAGCTGATTAAGTAGTTTTGGATCAAATCTTGAAATTTGAGATTACAACAATGACAACAACAGAATATGGCAAAAGCTCCCCTTTCAGCTTGCTACACTTTACTGATCAGAGAATTTGTTGTTGTTTAGTCACTAAGTTGTGTCCGACTCTTTTGTGACCTCATGGACTGTAGCCTGCCAGGCTCCTCTGTCCATGGGATTCTCCAGTCAAGAATACTGGAGTGGGTTGCCACTTCCTTCTCCAGGGGATCTTTCCAACCCAGGAAATGAACCTGTGTCTCCGGCATTGGCAGGTGAATTCTTTACTAATGAGCCACCACAGAAGCCCAGATCAGAGAATAAAGGCCCCTCAAATTTCAACTTTGAAAATTTTTTAATAGGCTGCATTTCAATTGACAAAAATTAGCTCTTTGCCCAGAATATTCTGTCTCTTAGGTTTTCCAATTTTAGAAGCATTTTAAAATAATACAGTATAGTCCCCTAATAATAGACTGACCAATCATCCCAGTTTCCCTGGGACTGTCCCTGTCTGAGCACTGAAAGTCCTGTGTTGGTGGAAAGTCCTGGGATGATTGGTCACCTGACCTAATTAGGACATTTTAACCATTTGATTAGTTTATGGGCTAATATTTGCCTCTGTTTAACAATTCTTCCTTCATCGACAATTCTTTAGTGTCCTACTGATCTTAGGTGGAGTCTTGGCTCTGCTCTTTATTGTAAGGCATCGAGGAAGTTATTTAATTTATCCAGCCTTAATTTCCTTCATTAAAAATGAAGAATGGTGATAACAGTACCCATTTCATTGGGTTGGTGTAAAATTAAATGAGGCTATGCAGATATAATGCTTAGCACATGCTATAAACACTCAGTAGATGTTTAGCTATTAATCTATTATAGTTATTAGTTACCTAACACAAGATTGAAGGGCTGGTGTGTAAAACATATCTCCCCCCACAAGTAGTTTAGAGGGACTATTTACATACCAATGAGCTACATGCCCATTACCACTGATTCATATGTATATATACAACACTGCTCATCAGGGCTTCTACCAGGCTATCAGAGTTACTGCATGTGGTTCATACCAAAAAAAAAATCATATTTAAACCCTTATAAGAATTTTTCAAGAGTCAATTAAAGTTGTAAAATCTTTACATAGGACCACACCAGCAACTAAGCAGTCATCTAGCCAAAAAAAATACCTTTATTGAATACTGGCAGTATAATTAGAAGCCAAGGAAAAGCTAAGTAAGTGGAAAACACACGCTACCCTCAAATTGCTTACACTCTTGTGTTCCAAGGAAACCAAGAGCTAAGCTTAGAGTCAGGGACGGGTCAAAGCAGAAACCAGATAGAAATAAAAAATCTGCCCTATGCTTCCTCCCAAGAATATAGGAGCCCTTGCAGCTGGGAAGTGGGCTGTAGGAGGAAAGGCAGAAAGAGTCGCTTCTCCAGAAGAGATGGCCATGCAGGAGACAAGTTAGAGGAAAGGGACACTCAGGCAGGAATCTGAAGTATCAGATAATTAAATGGAAGAGAAGTAACAATGATGGCTGTGGTATGAAGCTAGAAAACCAGGGAATAAATGAAGTAGGAAGAGGAAATTTTCACTCAGAAGACTGTCCAGCCTAGATTTTGGAAAAACCCCATGACCAGCAATAATGGCCTCCTACTTTGCCAATGAGCGTGTCATTGTAGGCAAACTTTCAACCAAATTCAGAATCTCCAGTCTCTAAGGTCCCAGTTGTGAAGGCAAGTGACAGAATGCTTTGTCTTTCTGGAACTGTTAAAGTGGTTACCACAGGACCCTGTCACTTCCCAGCCTGAGGGCTTGAGTTGCTCTGTTCACAGGAAGGGAGGCAGGGTGCTCAGAGACAACTTCCCAATGATATGCCCTGCTCCTTCCACCAAAGCCCTCAGCCCCCAACCCAACCTGGTAGCATTTCCAGGCTTTGCCAAGAACCAAGAGGTGTTAACAGAGTAGGTGACAAAGGAGGTCTTGCCGTTTTCAAGAAACCCAGACCACCAGAAAGCCTCCCAAGGTGTGGCAGAAGTGAACACTTTGATTTCAGACTTTCAGCCTCACATCCCACTCACTTAGGTCTGACCCTCCCAGGCCTCCAACCTAGGACCCAGAGCTGAGGAAGAATCCCCTCTTATGTTTCATCAGGTCATTTTGGAGCAGATTCTCTCCCAGTTGAAAGAGTGCAAGTGCTATGAGCCCTCTTTCCAGGTGTCACTGCCATCCATCCCCCGCTAACTACAGCTCTAAGCTCAGCAGACTATTAGGAACCTGTTAGGGCTTTTGCTCGGCAGGGTTGCAGTGGCTGTGGTCTGAATACACTTGTAGTAATCTTTCACCAAAAATGAAGATTCCCTGGAAACTTGGCCTGGTTTCTTAGAAACAATGAGACAAATTGATGCCTAAAGTGAAATAATAGATGAGAAAGGGCTTTGATGGTGTGGAAAATGCCTGCAAATACAACCTGTTATAATAATGCTAACGAAGTCGGCAGCCTTGCTTGTACCCTGCTGGAACTTCTGGAACCGTGGAGGCTAACCTGGGCTGAGCACTAAGTGAGGTAGTTCTTGCCTAGCATGATGGCTTTTAAAATTTCCTATTTGTGTCTCACCGACAAACCATCACATTATTCAACTACTCTGTGGGAGCCCAAAATTACTTATTACCTTGTCTGAGCACATTACCTGCCCATGACTTGGAATCTCAGAAATAAAAGGAAGGTTAGAGACCAGAGAGGTCAAGCAACTTGCTCAGGGTCACACAGGGAACTAGACACACAACTTGTACTACAACCGAGGTCTTCCACAGAGGGTTTCTCTTTCTCTTACATAACCCGTGACCTTGAGGAAGAAGAAAATCCACCCACCCCCACATGCACACGCACACACACACTCCAGTGCCTCGTCCCTATGGCTCTAAGAACACCAAACCCACAGCTGAGTTTCTTAAAGTTGCCTCTCCTGCCTCAAAATTGCTGCAGTTGTCTCCCCAAGACCGGCTCTTACCAGAGTGCCTCAGACTGGAAGACTGCAGCCACCTTTGGTCTTCCCATTGTGTTTTTCTCCTCCACTCTCCCTTCCTTGCCCTTCAGCAGGATTTCTAGAAAGTCTGACCTGCACTCCAACACAGGCTTGCCATGACATGGACTCATCCACCCTCCTGTCTGGGATGCTCTTTGGGACCGCTTTTAGCTGTCACTAGAAATGGAAATGGTGGATCATGGATGGGGAGGGGTCCCCCTATCCAGAGTTTCAAGAAATTCTCACAGGTCTCTAATTTTTCTTATTCCCCACCCTCCCCCACACCAGTAGCAGCTGAATCTGTCGACACAATTTGCTTGCCCCCATTCTCAGTCAGGGCCACTCAGTAATTTAAAAGCCCTTGCAATTTCCACCCAAGTTTGCCTGTTTGGAAATGGACTTTTGATAAGCGTGGAACTCAGGTCCCAAGAGCATCCCATGGCAGACTCTCCAAAGTGGCCGTAGAAATGTAGGCATTTGGGTAGAAAGTGCCGCCGGCTATCCCCAAAGCATCTACCGCTCTGTCGCTCTGTCCATCTTCTGGGCTCCAGCATTTCCCCAGGAAAGCCTCCGCAGGCACCTTTCCAAACAGGGCTCCCACCTGCCAGGCCTCCCACCAGCCAGGCCTCCCCTCAGCCACACAGGAATCCAGGTAGCCTCCCGGGTCGGGTTGTGGCGGTCCCAGGCGCCCAAACCTCCAGAGCTCCTCTCGGCCTTCCAGAGGGGCGCATTCAGCCCAGGCAGGTGCGAGGCAGCTGGGACCAGGTGCCCACCCGCGCGTGCCCCGCCACCCACCTGTGGAAGAAGAGCAGAATGGAAAGCATGGTCTGGTCGATGTTGCGGTTGCAGATGCCCTCATTGATCAGGTAGCAGGGGTCCCGCAGCACGGGCTCTAGCGAATCCTGCCGCATTATGCTATTAAGCTTGTCGGTGTTGAGGTTCTCGAAGACCAGCTTCTCCTGCAGCTGCCGAAAGTTGCTCACGATGGGGCTGCCCGAGTTGTTGTTGTCCCCGCCGTTGTCGCGCTGGAGCCCGCTCCGGTGGGCCAGGTCCAGGCAGCAGTTGCAGCAGTCGAGGCCGACAGGTGAGCGGCAGTCTGACTTGGGCTGGGCCATGTTCTCCGGCTCGGGGGCCGCCTGGCCCGCGAGGTCAGGGGCTCCCGGCAGGTGCGCGCCCGCCGGGCCGGCCGGAGGAGACTCCAGGGTGTCTGGGACAGACAAGCTGAGAGAAGAGTTGGAAATAAACGTCGAGAGCCGGCCACCCTCGGCTCGGCCCCCTTCTGGCTGCGCTGCTCAGGGTGCGAATAGAAACAGCTGGACAAACAGCTCTGAGCGGATCCTTCGGGCTCACTTCCTCCTCTTCCTCCTCCTCTCCGCCCCCCTCCTCTTCCTCCGCCTCTCCAGGCCAGGGCCGCCCCCCCACCCCCACCCCGAGGTGCCACACGCGTCCCCCTCGCCGTCCCAAGTTTCCCAAGTGTCAGAGCTGGGGCCGGGGGTGGACCTGGGGCAGCAGGAAGGGCGGGCGGCGGGGCCGACAGAGAGCCGGGGCGCGCCCTCGCTCCCTCCCTCCCGGGTTCCCTCCCTCCCTCGCCAGCTTGGGGACTCGCCGGCTCTCGGGCTCTCCGGGGCTGCGCCGGCGGAGCGGTGGCAGAAGCAGAGCGCGAGTGAGCGAGCGAGCGAGCGAGCCGCGCGCCCGGGAGTCAGCGCGGGGCCGTGACAGCATGCAAATGACCCGCCGGGGGGCCGACCGACCACGAGGGGCCGCCGCCGCTTCGCCCGCGCGCGCCCGGGAGCCGGCGGAGCGGTACTGTCCCCCTCCCCCGCCCTGCTCCCACCGGGCTTCCGCCCCCATCTCGCCCCAGCACCCGCAGGGCCGCCCGCACCTTCCGTCGCGCTCCCAGGAGCCCGGCCCCGCTCGGCCTCCCTCCGTGAGCCCCGCCGCGCTTCGGCTCGGGCTGTCTCGCTGCTTCTGGCGCATCTTGGGCCAGGAATCCCCGAGAGCTGCCGCGCCACCCCCGGTCTCTAGCTCAGCGGGCGGACCAATGTGCCTGGTCCCACCGCGGACGGGTCCCCCTACAGGAGAGACGCCGCCTTCGAGAAGCGGGGTGGGGGTGGGGGTGGGCTGGGTGCAGAGAGCGCGTGGCCCCTGCTGGGTGTCCGAGGGCCCTGTGCGCGCCTCAGGGGTAACCGACACGCGGCTGCAACAAAACTCACAGAAGCACGCTCAATCGCTCCTCGGTTTCTGTCCGTTTCTTCTCCCTTCATTCCTTTCCTCCTTTTCCCCTCAATTGCTCTCTCCTATGTCTTCCCTGAACCCCATCTGAGATGGTCTCTGCTCCGGCTTCCCGGAATGCCAGTCGGTTAGCAGTTCTCCCTCTGTCTACACGCCCCCCACCCCCACCCCCCACGCCTTGCTTCTCTTTGCCCTTCTTCTTCCATTCTTTCTTTCATATTTATTTTTCTGTTCCTTTCCCCCTCTTTCTCTCATTTATTTTTCTGTTCTTTTTTCCCTCTTTACTCCTTTCTTTCTTTCTTTCCTTTTTTTCCCTTTCCTGGATTTCCCTATTTACCATTTTTCTCTGCCATCCCTCTTTTACTCCTCTCAGTTTCTTTCTTTCTCCTTTCCTTTCCTTCATTTTATTCCCCCCCATGCTCCCCTCACTTCCACACCCCCTCATTCTCCTCAGTTTTGTCTTGTCCTCTCTATTTCACTTAGCTTCCCCAATTTGTCCAAACTTGCAGTTTTTTGATCCCTACCTACCACCTTAGGTGATCTCTATCCTTACCTTTTGGAGGGGTGTGGTGATTGGTTGTTCATGGACACTGCGGAGTGTCCTGAAACCTTGGCCTGAGGGGAAAGTGCCCCTGGATCCGAGCTGATGTGAAAGGGCAGATTTGTGGAAAGCAAGCAGGTCTAACCCCAGCCATGGGTGTGTAAGTGGTAGGGTTCCGAAGTGTCTCAGGACTTGGAGACTTGGAATAGTTTGTATACATAGAATTCAGTAATTATTGGTTTCTGAGAAAAATTCGAAATATTCCTCATGTTCAGTTTTCACTTAAATGGATTTCAGTTTGTCAGCACTTCCCCACCCTTCTTTCAACTCGCTTTCACAAGGCCATGGCCCTTGCGATAGACCAGTACATACCGCCATCTTGTGTTCACAGAGCAGAACATTTCTTGCCTGAGTCAGATCTTGGCGGAGACGCTAGAGGTGCCCCCTAGTGGCATTCACGCTGCACTGGTCCTGAGACCACGAGGTAAAAGGAGGCAGATCCTCTAAGCTAAGAGGGCTTGTTGGCCAGGCTGTACATCTGGACACCAATCAGGGCACAGCCACTCTCTTTTCTAGTGCCGCTCCACTTATCTGAGTCTCTGGAGATCGGGCTTTCATAGATTTAACATTCCCTCTGTGTGCCAAAACTATCACCCCCGTGATAAGGAGCAAAGGACAGCTAACAAACTCCTGTTTCCAAGGCTCTATAGATCTTACAAGGGGCCCGGCAATTTTCAGAAATGGAAGGAGGACAGTACTCTCTCTGCTGTAGGACGCAGAAAGCCAAAACCGATCTATATCCCTGCCTCCTGACAGGATCCTAAGATAAGACACGAAAGAGGGGTTGCAAGGTCACTGACCCGGCCAGCAAAGCTGTGTTCTCACAGACTGTTGAAGACTGTTTATCTCAAAAAAGCCAGTCATTTAGATGCATTAATTTCCCTTTTTCTTCTTCACTGTCTTTTTTTAAATGTTCTTGGTTAAAAGCCAGAGGAGGTAGTAGAATATGAAATTTCATATGCGTTATGTAGACTTATAGCCTACTGAATTGTTTTTTAATTACAGTGTTTATGATTTTCCCTCTTGTTTATAATTATTTTATGTTAAACATTATAACAAAATATATTAGCTTCATAAATGTTTATTTAATTTGTGTTTTGAGAACTGCAGGGGCCTTTTGCTTCTACACTTGCCTGAATCCTTTTATCTTTGTGCATAACCTTGGGACGAGTATGGTTATTCCACCATAACCCTGGTGGAAGTATTTCCTTCTTGGCATTTGGCACCATTAAACTCCAGAGTTTGTCCCCTTGACATTTCTCTTGTTGTAGTCCTTGCTAGCAAGCAGTATTGTTAATAATTCAGTACAGCTTTGCATACTATATCCAGGCTGATCAAGAGCAAATATAACTTAGAAGAAAATCTAGATAGTTCCAAGATAGAGTTCAGAAAGCTGTTGTGTATTTGCACACAAGTCCAGCGTGTACTGACATATAGCATGCCTTCTTGAAAAGGCTGACTGGGCAGGGCCTTCTTGGCTCCTCTCTGTGAAGCCTCCCTTTGCTCACATATATTGTGTTGGATGGAGAGACTCCCAAGTAGCAAAACAGTCTTATATAAACCCAGCGAGCAGAAGGGGGCCCACTTACAGACAGGGTGGAGTAGAAAGGGGGAAAAAAGGGATACCTCCTTCTCAGATGGAGTCATCAACAGTGACTTTCTGCTTGCCCTGTGCCAAGTATGGGGTGAGTGGGGATTCAGAGGTAAGTAAGACACACCTGAAGCACCCAAAGAACTCATGGTCTAGTTGGCAAAACAGAAACATAAACAGACAAAAACAGCACAATCTGGGAATGACGATGGAGGCCTGGTGTGTGTGTGGTTCGGTGGGGGGGGCACTGCTGTGGGAGTGTGGAGGAGGGGTCAGCTTTGGAAGGAGGGAAAGGCACTCAACATGGAGAGAGGAGAGAACAGAGGCCTGGAGGTGACAACAGCATGTGTGCAGGGGGCTGGGTATGAATTATAAAGAAGTTCAGTGTTACTGGAGAATAAGATGTGAAAGATGGAACAATGAGAGTCAAGGCTAGAAAGAGATTTGGGGACCAGGTATCAGGGAACTTCATGTGAAACATGAAGGAAATCCCCCTGCTTCACAAGTTTGCCCCATATTTAGCAATTATTAAGAAAAGGAATAGGTATCATTTACTGAGGTCATGCTATGTGCTGGGTACTTTGCATATATTATCTTATTTAATCCTCACAACAATCCTATGAAGTAGGTTATGATCCCAGTAATGAGATGGCCTTGGGAATGTTCAAGAAGCTCTCATGTCACATAAGTAGTAAGTAGTGGCGTTTGGATTGAACCCACCCTTTCCAACTTCAAAGCTTATGCCTTTAACCATTAGGTGACTTTTTAGTTATGCTTTATCAAACATTTACAAAGCATAACATCTATTTTAAGAAGATCATATACTCTAAAAAAGTGCAATCAAAGATTTACTAACACACACACACATATATATTGCTTCCTTTTTTAATGTTTGAAAATTTTTATACAATTTTAAAAGGTTACTTTCCATTTACAGTTATTACAAAATATTGACTCTACTCCCCATGTTATACAATACATCCTTGAGCCTATCTTATACCCAACAGTTTGTATCTCCCACTCTCCCACCCCTATATTGCCCCTTCCCTCCACTGAACCATTATACTGTTCTCTATATATGAGTCTACTTCTTTTTTAGTTATATTCACTAGTTTGTTGTATATTTTAGATTCCACAAATAAGTGATATCACATAGTATTTGTCTTTGTCTGACTTATTTCACTTATCATAATGCCCTCCAAGTCCAACCATGTTGCCCCAAATGGTGAAATTTTGTTCCTTTTAATGGCCAAGTAGTAGTCTGTTATATATGTATGTATATATTTGCATATATATTAATATATATATCTATATATATATCTGTCCCACGTCTTCTTTTCCATTCATCTGTTGATGGACACTTAGGTTGCTTCCATATATTGGTGAGTGTAAATAATGCTGCTATGAACATTGGGGCACATGTATCTTTTTAAATTAGTGGGATTTTTTTCAGATATGTAACCAGGAGTAGAATTGCTGAATCATATGGTAGTTCTATTTTTAGTTTTTTGAAAAACTTTCATACTGTTTTCCACAGTGGCTGCACAAATTTACATTCCCACCAACAGTGTACAAGGGTTTCCTTTTTTCCGTATCCTCATCAACATTTGTTATTTGTGTTCTTATTGATGACAGCCATTCTGACAGGTGAAAGGTGATATCTCATTGTAATTTTGATTTGCATTGCTCTAATAGTGATGTTGAACATCTTTTCATGTGCCTGTTGGCCTTCTGCATTTCCTCTTTGGAAAAATGTTTATACAGGTCTTCTGCCCTGACCATTATATTTAAAAACTTTTATTTGTGCTGCAGAGAGCCAGAAAGGAAATTGATTAATCTGGTATAATAATTAATATTATAATAGCTGAATTTTTTATTATTACCATGTGCTAGATATTTCCAAGTGCTTCCAGAGACCTCACCTGTGCTTTACATAGTATTATCCAGTTTAATTATCACAACAAGCCTGTGAGATACTACCATCATATCCACTTAAAAGATGAGGAAACCAAGGCACTGAGAGGTTATATAGGGTATCTAGAGAATAGGAACTGTCTCTAAGCACTTGCAATCTATTAATAATTAGGTGCAAGTTAAGACATACAATAGTTTTTAGGCAAGCCCATTTCCCTACCATCAATACTCGGTTTTGTTAAAGTTTCTTAATGGGAGAAAGCAGATTATTCTTCCTGAAACTTTTCACAATTGTTCACAGATTTGTAGACTGCTATAGTTGGTAAGGGATTCCCAAATGGCACAGTGGTAAAGAATCTGCCTGCCAGTTCAGGAGATGTGGGTTCAGCCCCTGCATCAGGAAGATCCCCTGGAGGAGGAAATGGCAATCTTGTCTGGAAAATCCCACGGACAGAGGAAACCAGGGGGCTGCAATCCATGGGGCTGCAAAAGAGCCAGACTAAACAACATTAGCAATAGTAAGGGTTTAAAACTTTCTAGATCAGGGGTTCTTAACCTTTTTTTATGCCAAAGACTCCTTTGACAATAAAATAAAGCCCATGGATCCCTCCGGAGAAGGCAATGGCACCCCACTCCAGT